TCTTCTTCTTCTTCTTCTTCTTCTTCTTCTTCTTCTTCTTCTTCTTCTTCTTCTTCTTCTTCTTCTTCTTCTTCTTCTTCTTCTTCTTCTTCTTCTTCTTCTTCCGCTTTTTTCCCTACCCTCTGAGTCCCTTTGCTGCTACAGCCCATTTAAAAGTCTGTCACTTCAATGTCTTGTTCTGCCCTGAGGAAGGACACCAGTGATCGATCTACAAACAGTCAAATCAGTAACTTGCTCTTGGGGAAAAAATGAAAATCTGAGCTGTTTTGTATTTCCGTGTTGATAAACAGGGTTTCTTAAGCTTTTAAACTTAAGCGCACAGAAAGAGAATGCAAATAGTCGGATGAGTAAAGGCGAGTAAGCAGTAACGCCTGCTGTGGAAGCACCCACCATATTTATGTGTGTGTATAGACAGTCTTCTCTTCAGGAATCAAGCTCAAGAGAAACCAGTTCCGCCTGTTTTCAGCAGAAGTCAGCTTTAACTTGCCAGTGCATTTTCAATATCACAGGAACATCTCTCCTGAACAGTTTTTCATCTTTTTAAACATTTTTTTAAGATTAAAAAAACATTCTATTGAATACATGTAAATGCTATTTTTAAAATGTAGATCGCTGACCTGACATTCAGCTGTAGGGGAAAAAATATGTACTTAGCGGCATTACAATTACTGATTAGTATAACTGTGATATGCAATGTAAAGAGGGGCAGGGAAAGACAAAACTTGCTCCACAGGAGAAAAATACACTGTGGCTCCTGTTTTCAAGTTAGCCAGTGTGATGTAGTAGTTAGTGTCAGACTGGGACCTTGGAAACTGAGGTTCAAATGAAGCTCACTGGGTGAATTTGGGCCACCCCTCCCAGTCTCCCTCGACCTAACCCATTTCACGCAACTGAGAACAAAATGTTGAGTGGGTTGAGAACCATGCGTGCTGCCCAGAGCTCAGTGTTTGCACCTCTTGTGCTAAAATGGATACTAAACATCAGTTATGCCAGTATTTATTTTTAAAATATATTTCTAGATCCTATTATGTGGCATTTGATTAAGGAGTGTGACTGCGGCAGATTCATCCGTTTACAATTTTGGATCTGTCCAAATTACCAAAGGGGTATAATTGGAGGGGGGTGGGGTATGATTTTTAAAGTGGAGTATGGACAAGATTTGCTGAACCTTCCTCTTGCTGATGGCTTACTTCTCTGTCGTGGTTTTTCCCCCCTCTGCTGGGCTTGTGTGGACCCCCCACACATACACTTTTTATTCATGGAGCAGAGCAGAGTTTAAACAGGAGTTTCTGCTAAAATCATCTCCGTTTGAGCACAGTATCATATGGGTTAGAACGATTGCATGATACCTTACAGGCCAAAACCTTAATCTAAGTATTCAAAGAGTGCTTTGATGAGATGAAGTTTACTTGTATTTGTCTATGTAGTCGGACTTCAGGGCCGTTGCAAAATGGGGGGGGGGGGCTCTCCACAAAACAGAACAGCTCTCCCAGCAGTAGGAAGTGGTCTACTTATTCTTAAAAGGTTTGGCATTGCACAATGCATAGTGATGCCAAGTGGGGATAAGCATGTGCAGCTTTAACTGGCATTTGAAGTTTTGGAAGTTAGTTGCGTGACACTTTGAATGCTAATTTAATTTTCTCCCTCTCTGCAGATAACAACAAGGGAAGACATACATTCAACGCAGGGAACAACCATCAAGACCGAACTGGAGCCAGAGGTGTTTCGGCCAAATCTTAGTGACCCCAGTGAATTGCTACAAGTGGAACAGATTGAAAAGGTGTGAAATAAGAAAGCTATGGCATTCATCACAGCGCTTTGCAGCTGCATTAAATGTTACTGCTGAAAGCAAAACTATAGCAGTAGTCTTCTCCTTTCCTGAAAATGGTGGTAAAAACTAGAGTAAAAAGCAGTTATGTATTAAAATGTATCACATATGAAGTGGTTGTTTCTAAATTGTAGCTGGTAGCTGGTATACAGATGAATAAAGAGTAGGGGTTATCCTGAGTTTCTGTTCCAGTTTTTCTGGGCCAGTATGGAGACATCATTAAAATGTTGGGCTAAGACTTGGGAGACCTGTGTCAAATACCTGCTCAGCCATGAAGCTTATGGGTGATCTTGGATCAGTCATTCTTTCTCTTTCAGCCCAAGCGATCTCACAGGGCACTTGTGATGCTAAAATATAGGAAGGGAAAACCATTTCTGCCATCTTGAACTTCTCAGAGGAAGTGTAGGATAAAAACATGCCCAATACAGTACTGCGTATTTGGTTTTTAACAGCTAAGTAAAACTCTGGAACTGCCTCAATTCAGCCTCTTCTCAAACATAATAAAGGGAAGTTTGTTGTTTTAAAGTATTTCCAATAACCAATATCCACGTCAGTCTCTCACCTATATTTGATTCTCATCTGTGCCCAAAGTTATATAAAAAGACATCCAGCTACAAAAATGAAATTATTTAGAATTTGTCCGTAGATTTAGACTAGATTGAACATCATTTTGGGGCATGTGTATACCATATCCTAATAGGATTTCTGTGTTGCACTTCTCTAAGACATGGATGCAACTGCCTTCACATTTTAATCTGCTCTCATACACATGGTAAAGAGATCTCAGGAAACAAGGATATACTACTGCTTCTTGCTTCCAAAGTATAAAACCTGAAAAGTTCAGTGACGTTCACTCAGTTGTTTTCTCATCCTGAAAATATGCTGATTTAGAATACCATCCTAGGCAATACAGCCAACCAAAGACAATAGCAATAGTCTGGGATAAGGTAAGCAAAGATTGGAACCCTCCTTTTTTTGCAAACAGTTATCTTGCTTCAAGCTGGGTTATTTGGTTCTGGTGACTAGGCAGAATCTATAAGTTGCGAAGTTCAACCTTGATCTATCTCTAGAGTTCAGACCAGTCACAAATCGATCTATTTCAACTTAACTCTGCCCTTTTCCAACTTAATTATCATGATAGTAGGCCTGAGGATTTAGGCCCTGGATGCTTCTGCAAGCTTGCCCAGTAGCATCTAGGTATATTGGAAACTACATTACTTATCTTTGCAATATCTATATGAAATACCCTCATTCCTAAGCAGGCACTGTCTTCAGTATGTATTTGTATGGGTTTTTAAAATTTTTATCTGTGTTTTATTAGCTTACAAAGTGTCTTCCACCTCGAACTATTGGGTATCCATGGACCCTTGTCTACAGTACTGCAAAGCATGGCATGAGCTTGAAAACACTCTACAGAACCATGATGGGGTTGGACACCCCTGTACTAATGGTTATCAAAGACAGTGATGGACAGGTATGAATACTGCAATATACATTCCCTTCCTGATTTCTCCCCAGACTCCACTACAACCTCTCCCCCCCCCCCCATTTGTTTTTAAGACAGACAGACTGTGGCTACAGGTTATCTTGATCACACCAAAAGTTGCAATATGTCAGTCTGACTTCAGTTGTTTGGAATTCTGAAGCTCTCCAAAGTTAGACAGAGAATGCTGGAAGGGATTGCCTGCCAGTGTATAAGAAGCAGGACTTCTAGCCACCTGTCTCCTATATCTACGCTTTGTTATTTATCTCTGATTACCTTATCTCTCCTAATAGTCCCACAGGAACTGAGAGTGGGAGGTGTAGTGACAGCTTGCTGCAAAAGGTTAGATGAGAAATGTGGAAGGAAACAAGGGGGCTCTCTGTATTCTGTCTCTATTCATTCTCTTTCTGATGATTACTGATTCAAAGATGCTAGCAGGATCATCATCAGGCATTAGTGAAGGTGGCATCTTACTAGCCAATCCTGCTAGAAGCTCTTGCACTAGGAAATACCTCTTTTTCTGAGATAGATCCCTATTGCATTACCTTACTGGAAGAACTAGCATGTCGAACTGTCTTTATACCCTCATCCCTGATCGTTTCGTTAAAGATTTTACTGAGATGAGGTGTTGCTTTGTTGCTGTTGTAGACTCTTTCTTTAAGTGTCGTGTGTTGATCTTAATACAGTAGATAGAGGTAAATTGAACTGAGCTGGAATCAGTGGGGCTTTCTTCTAGTTAATCTGAGTCTAAATACAAGAGGGGAATGTCATAATTACCAGATTTTTTTTCTTTTGTATAGATTTTTGGTGCACTAGCTTCTGAGCCCTTTAAAGTCAGTGATGGTTTTTATGGCACTGGAGAAACCTTCCTTTTTACTTTCGCTCCAGATTTTGAGGTAAGGACTTAGCACTTAAGTACTATGTCATAATTACCAGATTTTTTTTCTTTTGTATAGATTTTTGGTGCACTAGCTTCTGAGCCCTTTAAAGTCAGTGATGGTTTTTATGGCACTGGAGAAACCTTCCTTTTTACTTTCGCTCCAGATTTTGAGGTAAGGACTTAGCACTTAAGTACTCTGAAAAAAAAAACTTACACAGTTACATCCTGGGCTATATTTCTACCCCAAGACAAATTCCAAAAGTTTCACAAAACAATTTTTTTTTTGTAGCAGTAGAAGTCATTGTGTTTCACAGTACCCAGACAACCACTGCCTGTTTTAAACCCAAGGAGTTCAATATTTTTTCCTTTAAAATTTATGAAAGTCTGTTTGCTTTCTAGTGTTAATAATTGCTAAACTTGTTTGTGTTGCAGTATCATTCTTACCAATCTGTGGACATGTAAAATCCACTAATAAAAACCCAAATAAGTACGCTTTATTACGATCAACCAGAATGACAGAAAACAGTGTGGTTGGTCCTAAGAAAGAGTTTTATGTGGTTTCTCTTTTGGAATTTTGCTTTGGGCCAATATGGCTACATACAGCCTCTTCCTATTTTGTGTCAAGGTTACTGTTTTCCAGGTTATAAAGAAGGGCTGTATATCTCCAGAGAACTTAAAAATGCCTTTTTAACGTTGCAATATGTTATATGGATTGCATTAACAAAGTACTACAGTGGGAGAAGGAATAATTTCTGTGGATATTATATTCTCAGGGTACTCTTTTTGTAAGTGGCTATACTTTGGAGTCGTCGTTCGTTAATATTCAGGTGACAATGTCCTAAAAAATAAAAAGTTGTATAGGCACTTACGTATACATTCTGCCAGAAAAGCTCCTACTGGGGTGGAAATTCACCCCAGATAAGCAGCACAGATTTGTAATAGAAGGCTTGATGTAAGAAGGCTTTCCAATTTCTTGTGAATGCAACATTTTTAAATTGATCTTGAGTGGAAGTAGAGAGTGCTTTTTAAAGTTTTTTGTTTTTTGCTTTGATTTTCTTGTATTTGTTTCAGGTTTTGGAGAAATGTTTTACACTAGGAAGAGAGTGTAGCTTACCTTAATGTTCACAGTGACTGATTAATATGTAATGTGTATAAAGCAGAACATGATGCTATTTTACTTTGTTTTGAAAATAACTTCCTTGAATCTGTGTGTTCTAATTAGAAATTCAGCTGGACTGGAGACAATATGTTCTTCATTAAAGGAGACATGGATGCCCTAGCTTTTGGTGGTGGAGGGTGAGTAATGAATTTCTCTGTTTGTCACTTAGAATTGATTTATTCTTCACATAAAGTCTTCATAGAATTACCATGCTAATAATGATTTACCTTCATAGATCAAATACTGAAATATAATTACGCAGTTGCAATAAACACATATCTTTGAACATCATTTATATTCTTGCCAAAGACTCTTTTAAAGAAGTCTTCTCTGAATACTGTCCATTTCTTTTTTCCTGTTCCCTTATACCTTGGAGAAGTGTCCTGTGCTTCTTGATATCTTCCACGTAGTCTTACGAACACTTTGGGAGTTTTCCTTCTAGCTAGGTCTGAGATGCTGTTCTCTTCTTTCATTGGTTCATTATCAGTGTTAACAGAATTTTAAAAATACAGTCACACTTCACTTATTTGTATATCTTTTTCCATATTCTTATTTTTTTCATTCCCCCCAAGAATACAAACATTCCTTGTGTATAAGTGAAACATCCAAGAACAGGAAGGCATTGCCGAAGGAAAGGAATACTGTGTATCCAGCAAATACTGTGTTTTTTTGGGTTGTTTTTTTTTTTTTTTGAAGGATTGACCAGGTCTGAGAATATGCAGGCTAGCTCTTTGTACCTTAGCAGTAACTTTGCCCTTCTCTCAAAGAGCTCAGATCTGGTCTATCCCCTAAAAAACACAGTATTCGCTGGAAACCAATGAGTTTTTGTCCCTTCTCCTTAAATTCTACTCTTTTATTAGAGAGATTATGTTATGTGACCTGAAGTGTCTTTGTGCTGTTTGGATGTTTTTTCTGCCCTGCTCCCAACCATTCCTGAGAGCAGGCCTTGAATTGACAATGTGCTATCCTCGGTGTAAGCTGCAGTGAACAACTGGACTGGAGGTACCAGCTTGGATCCATTAAGATGATACCCTTAAGTTTTCTTAATAGGGGTCAGTGAGTTTTGCTAATTTCTCCCCCTCCCAGAACTGGGGGGGGGGCTAGGTGATCTCCTGTGAGCAGGAGGAATGAGCAAAATTTGCTGTTCCTATTTAAGAACACTTAAGGGCACAGGGTTTCTGAACAGTATGGTTGGAATCTAGGCCCCCATGATTCTTTTAACCCAGGATCTCTTCTTTCATGTTTAGACTGAATTCTTTTCAAATTACTGACTGGATCTCTCCCTTAAATGTTCACTTACCCTGGTAGGGGTAGATGAAGCCTATGTTCTCAGTGACTTACTCAGTGACTTACTCAGAGAGTAAGAAATGAAAATAATATCTTTAAAAGGCTCTCTGCTCCTGCTGTGTTATTAGGTGGCTCTTCCTCTTTGGGCTTTCCCAAACTCCTAGTCATCTCACCAGACTCCATTTTTCTCGCTTTTTCAATTAGCACTTCCCCTTGATATGTAGAGCTGGTTTAGTGTAGTGCAAAGATGTAAAATGTCCCAAAATTTTGAAGTGATATTTTTTTTATTGAGGGGAGGGGATTTGAAATATTTGCAGTACTTACTTATCTCTCCAACCTACAGTTTAAAATTTTGTCACTGAACTCTTCAACAGTGCATTGTTGAACACATCCCTGTAGCAGATCACATTGCTAGCATTTTGGCCAGAGGACTGGATTGGCAAGTCCCTGAGTGGAATCTCATCTTTACTGTGAACTGCATACCTAACAGTAACAGGCAGAAGCTGTGTTTAATGGGATGTTTTTTTAAAGGTGAACATATTGCTTAAAATATTTTCTTGCCTACGCACAGCTTACTTTCAGTACCAAAGCCAACTTTCTAAAAATACTTGTCAGGTACTTGGAAAGGTTCTGTTGGTGCCATCATGCCCATGGGTGCCCCTGCAGGACCTCAGCCAAGCTTTTCTTATCTCAGCTTCTCATGTAATATGGGGGATATAATTATATTGATTTCACTGCCTGCAAAATATAACACTGCTTCTATTGCATCCGTCAGTCACAGGTTTTTATGATGGCTTTCAGTTAGAAGAACACACTATAATAGAACCTGTCTCATTAAAACAGTTAGCTACAATGTTGACAACCAGTAGCAGCATCAAAACTAGAGTGCAAAAAAATATCACAGAAACTATGCAAAGGCTGGAATAAACAGAAAGATTTTACCTTGGTACCTGAAGCGAACAAACAGAAGTAGATGTCAGGTGTCCAGCAGCAGGAAAGGCATTTGAAAGACAAGATTCCTCTGCAGAATTGTGTACCTATCTCAGTATAATAGAGTAGGATAATGTATGTGAAATGCTTTAAATATTCCACAGTATTAAGTGTGAAGGTAAGTAATAAAAGTAGAACTATTCATGCTCATAGTATCTGCTTCCATCTTTACCCTAATGATTCCCAAATCTGTTCCTAGATGAGAAACCACTTTCAAATGCAGCTACAGTTTGAGTGCTGAAGCTGGGATGAAATTCAAATAATTTTTGTCCAGTTACAATTCTATATGCTTTTTATTAATGAAATGTGGGGAACTAAAAAAATGTATCTGTATTACAGGGGTGAATTTGCACTCTGGCTCGATGGAGATCTCTACCATGGAAGAAGTCATTCATGTAAAACATTTGGGAATCCCACTCTTTCTAAGAAAGAAGACTTCATTATACAAGACATTGAAATATGGGGCTTTGAATAAATATAAACTGCTTCTACAAAAGGTTGTCCCAAACCTGTCATGGATCAGTGCAGCTCAAAAAGCCCTTAAAGCAATATAATGCAGCATTTTTGTTTGCGATGCCTTTCAAAATTCTCTGCATGGCCATCCAAATACTTTTTTAGATAAGCAACATGTTGGGTGCGGATGTCTACTGTGGTCTGGATTCTTTTTCATCAGCCTGTCATATTTTGGAAGTTCATAAGCCATCTTTATACTTTATTTGAGAATGCAGCTCACGATTGTCCTGTGGGTTCTTATCCCTCTTTCCCCCCCCACTCATCCAAAACCCTCTTTTTCCACTAGGGTGGGTTCACTGAGGGTGCTGTTAAACCCTAATGGAGTTGTCCCTATGGGCCTAAATCAGAGAATAATGAAGAGTTTTGAATTCATCAGCAGTAATCAGTCCAGGCCAGTGGTAGAAATAATTAAATTGATGCTACTCATTAAAATGAAAAGGGGTCAACCATGCTCAGCGGTGCCACTTCTTCTGTTCATGCCTACAGAGTTCGTGTCATTGGCATTTTATACTCAAAACCTAGCTGCCCCAATGATTGTATTGAAGTATTTTGCACATGCTGTTAATGATCTGCAGGCTTGGGACAAATGTTGGGCAAAGCTTGAGCTACATGGTCAGAATGAATACAATAGCAAAGGAATGTGAGGGCTCCACTGCATTAATTAGATGAAGAAAGCAAAACTCAGTGGATGAACCTGGAGCTATAGCAGGGCGTTACATGTACTAAGACTATGAAACATGCATTTTTTCCAATCAGCGTAAAGTGTCAGATATATCTATATATATCTCTATATAAGCTGTTTTATAGTTCTTCTGTTGTAGCCTCGTACGTCATCTCTGAAAATTACTCCTGTCCAAAAAAGAAAAAAAAATTAGATGTGGTGTTCCTTTTAATCTATTTTTTTCCCTTTTGAGTGGATCTATGTTGTAAGCTGCAGTTAGCACCAGCTCTGATACAATGGGGTAGTGTACTTTAGGTAGACATCGTAATTTAGTAGACTTGTAATATGCAAACTTACTGTTCTGTGACCTCAAGAAAAAAAAAAAGACAGGCTATAATACAGTAAATCAGTAGCTCTTGTCCACTTTTGTAGGAAAACTGAGAAGCCATTGTGGCAATAATCACTCAACAACCATTTCTTTCAAAGCTTAATTCTATGTTTATGCAAAAACAAAACAAAAAAAATTAAAATGCTGTTAAGTGTGACAGTGAATGACTTTGTGCTGAAATCTCAGCTGTTCCAGATGAACTTTGTATATATTCTCTTGTAAATTAATGTTTAAAAGTAGTTTTCTTATTTTAGAAAGGGAAAAAAGTGTTGATTGACGGGTTGCTTCTAGCACTTTAAATTATTCTAGAAATGGAATAAAAAGCCAAATAGTTTGGCTTAAATAAATAGCTATAGTTGTACAGTATGTTGCTATATCCAGTTCTTTCAGAAGTTTGACCACTTATTGGAAGGACGCTTACTGCTATGGGAAAGGGGCAGATACCTATAATATGCTAATGCTCAATATGGCTAAAAATACAGGGCATCATTTTCAGTCTTGGTGTATAGCTCTTTACTCTTGTTAGAACTTAGTATAGTATATGTAGATTCAATGTTTACAAACAACAGGAGCTGTAAATAAACTCAAATGGCTTTTTCTCCCCTTTGGTCTTCCACAGCAGTATTATTGTCTTTGTGGGTTTAAGACTAATTATAAACAATCCTGTAATGGATTTTAAGTACTATAAGGTCATAGTGATATATAGCAAATAAATCTAAATAAGTGTAACATGAAACATGAGTTGGGCTTTATTTAGACACGAGAGTGTTTCCTGAAGGGCAACTATATTTTCTCGCTGTTTTCATGCTAATAGTGCCGTTTAATCTACAATATTGAATTAAATTTTAATAGATGGTGGAAATGTTTTCTTGACCCTCTGGGATAGTTCTTAAGGCCCTGTTATCAGCTAGCATAGTTAATGGGTAAAGTACTAGATTTTGGTTCAACACTACTTAGCCATAGACTCACTGGCTAGTTTTGAGGAAGACATGTTTCAGCTACATCTGTAAAATCAAAACAGTAGATAGATGTACAGATACATGGAGGGGGCTGACATTTGATTCCAGCAAACTTTCTACTTTTGGCTCCTTTCTTGCACTTGTTATTGTATAAGACTGGTTAGCAAATCACTGTGAGTTGTTGGCTGAATCTAAGGTAACAAGATTTGGTTTTCCTGTTGCCCTTTTTATTGTAAAGCCTGCTGGGGAAGACTACAGTTTAATATTGGAATGACATTAATATTGGGAATTCAGAGTCAATGTAGTTCTATAACTCTGCTATAGAACTTCAGATGAGGAGTTTGATGCTTCTGGTTGCTGAGATCTGCTTTTGTTAACAGCTAGAAGTGAACTCAGTCTTTTAAACACTAAGACATGTCATACTGAAATGCCTTGATGCAAGAATTATTAGGAAAGGCATGATAGCACCATCTTTTCATACAAATGGAATATAGTGTATATTTCTAGTTATTCCATCTCAAAAAGGGTTCTGGAGTGCTAGGGGCGGGGTGTTCGTAGTAGTTTCAGAGCAAAAGGGCTGTGTCTATGGCTAAGTAGTTGCAGCATTCTCACAAAACACCATTAATTTTTAGAATTTACTGTTATAAGATGTGATGTCGACAGATGGTTTCCAGAGGAGAATGGGTTCTAGCGACTGTGTCCTCTGTGTGTCTGAATTGTGTGCTCCTAGAACACTCATGGGGGTGGGGAAGCAAGCAAGCAAGATACGGGACTGAAGTTAATTTCTTCCTTTATAAAAGTGAACTGTGATATGATACTCTGTTCTTCTGAAAGTAAAGACATTCAGTCATTGGGTCTCAATTCTTCAGAAAGAGTTTCTTTTTGTGATTTTTTGGTAGTGTCTTAGAGAAGTTAATCCTGTAGTAAACAATACAAGAAGCTCCGTACAAAAAAAAATTTAGAATGTTACTGTCCAGAGAGATTAGAATTTTTTAAAATTAAAAGTGTGTGTTTTCATTTCAGGTTAATTTGCTTACAAAGTTGTAAAGTTAGGAAATTCCGGGTTGCAAAGAGGCTTCTTTGTTTCAGAGGAAAATTCTGTTTTGTTCCATCATATCTATAATGTCAATTTACAATTTTTTTTAATACTGAATAAACAGGATAACACCTCTGTGGCAACACAATATTCATACATCTTTCTTCTGTGAGAAGACAGGTTTTCCTTTCAAAGTGAAAGAATGCATATTATGGGGGGGAATCATTTAAGTATTAAGAGTATTAAGGCTACTCCATATATTTTTAAAACACTGGTAATCAGATTCATAAACACATAATTATACATGTAAACACATAGCAACCTAATTTCAGAACAATTGATTTGACATAGATAGTGTACATAATTGATTTCTCAATCTTGGTATAATTGATATTAAATATAACTACTCAGTGTTTATATAAATATACAAGCTATGTAAGTTATGCTTCATTATGTCTGTGTATGTAATACTACAGAATATTTTATTATGCTTGTCACAGGATGTATGTCAAATTACCTGAAATGTCAACTTGAAGGCATGCCCTGAATTCTCAGTTCAAATTCCAGATTCCACTGGTTTAATAGACAAAATAGAACTGAATGGGAACAAACTACCTTTATTGTTCAACGGGCTTTATTTTCATTATATTCTGAATATATCCTTTATTTACAAGTCTACTTTACAAAAACTCCTCACAGTTGAGCTGGGGAAATGTATGAACGCCCCTAAAGGCATGTAGATGTCAGATACTGGGAAGGTAATAGTATAAAGATATTTTCCTAGGCAAACTAGAATGAATAAAACTTTGCTGTCTCTGTTGACCTCTCCAATAAACTGAGAGTCAGCTTTCAGATTCTGTGGTGATGGATTGTCGTGAATCAATGCACTTGGGACAATCCGACGACTGAACATTATTCTAACAAAGTTATTATCACATTATCATCCCGGCCTTGCCACAACATTTCTCCTTCGAAGCTGACCATCCCGTGCTTCCTGGCTCTCATGAGTATTCCAACAACCTTATCTGAAATACGGACGTATCTTTCAAATAACTCGCCAAAAGTGACTTGCATCTTGTCATCACGACGGAGAGAGACCATTGTTCGGATGATGAAGCACATGTCTTTCATTTCTCGGTAGATGTGGGCCTCTGCTCTCTTGGCCCTTTCTGCAGTTTTTGTACCCTCTTTGGGATGACCATAGCCCTCGTCTCCTTTGTGCAGGCGAGTAGTCATGGCAAGCTCATAGTCAAATTCTTCACTGAAAGGATTGAGCTTTTGGGTTAAAACATGTCCGTCTGCCCAGTCTTCCCATCTGCCCCTCAGACTGTGAACAGGGCTGTACTTTTTAGAGGGTTTGAGGTTTCTGCTTGAGCTGAAAGAAACAAGAAATCTAACTTTGAATTCGGTCATCTCAGTGGGACACCTGAGTATTGCGCTCATTCAAAACGTGGAGCCTTTTATTTTGGTTCAGAGTGGAGGCCACTAGGTGGCATGTGATCACTAATTCTAACATTTCATATTTTAAAATAGCAACATCTGAACATTCTTACTACTGCTGTGATCTGGGAATAACAAAATTGTCATTTTTCAATCTTTCTTACCCAGGATCAATTAAAACTCTATTTCTGTTGACTATTACTATTAATTTGTATAAATATTTAGCCCATCCAGTCCCAGGAACGGTACAATGAGAGATGTTTCCCAACCAGTTAGAATATAAACTTGCATACCAGTAACCAAAAATCTAAACAGAAAGGTCTTCACATTTGCAAGAGGTATTTGGGTGAGTCCAAGGCAAGAAAAAATTATTGGGTTGGGAGAGCAGCTGAGAATATGTCACATTATCCATTGACTCCAGACATTTGATGCACCACTGAGAGATTGTGGTTGGAGGTAAGAGAGAAGAGAATGTGGAGGAAGGAGGCTGAAGTCCCCTCTCTTAGTCCCCATCTGAATCAGGGTTAGCATAATCAGCAGTTCCATGTTTGGAACATCTGGTTTGACAAGACC